ATGCAATGTTTCAACTCTACATAAGTTATCAGGCAAAAGAAAATAATAATTAGACACATTAGAAAATACAAAATTAAAAGTGTTCTAAATTGTGTGAAACAAGAACAGCAATAAAATTAACCAATAGTGTTATTGACTATTTACAAACAGTATCAATGGAGGCAAGGGAATAGTGTTTATTTAAAAAATAATAATTGTAGCAGAAGTTGCTTTCACAGAATGTGTAGGAGGATTGAGTTTAGATGTTAGAAGGACGTAGGTTCAAGAATTCTTAATATGAAATAAGTACCTTATAACTCAAGTGGGCTATAGGATTTTGATCATTTTGTTTTATACTTAAAGTATGGGAGACTTGTTTTATGGATAGACTTTCTTTGATTAACTGTTAAAGGTTGGCATTACCATTGCAAAAAACTGTGGATCCTGAATGATGTCCAATTTCATGTCTGATTTCAGATTGTTGTATTGGGTTACCTGTCTTAAGTGATATTCCCATGAGGATGGAGATCATAAAGTGTCATTTAGTTTTCCAAACATAGGTTAACTAACATTCACCACAAATGTATTTATAGACAATCCAAGAAGAGAGAGATGGGTAGATGATCCTTTGTGTTAGATGTTTTAATCTAAATGATGGCTTGAAAAGTTTGACCTGTGGGTAGAACTTTGTTATTAAAGATTTAAGTTGTTTAGAAAGTGTGGTACTTTTGTTGTCCTAAGTAGGGATGGTCAATGAAACTGGGCATTTATGAACTGTGAACATCTTTATGGGAGTTTATTTTTCTCAGAAATATCCTGGTTAGACTTTCCACCATTTTCTTAGGATATCCATTATGCAATAATATTTTATGGAGAAAAGCAATCTCAGAGTGTAAAATAAAATGAGTTGAACAGATTTTAAAGCCTGGAGTTAGTAGACATGTTACTAAGTTGGTCTTATATTTCACAGAAATAAACTTATCAAACTGGGTGAGCTGTATGTTTTTTTGCAGTGGTAATTCTGACCTTCAATTGTTTAAGAAAGTATTCTTAAAACAAATGTCCCCTCCTTTCAGTATAAATGGTCCTCCTACTCACTTGATTTCTTTCAAAGCAACCTTTGCAATAAAATGATTTTTCTAATAAATAAACTTGAGTAGAATTTCTATTTACAGCGTTGGTTTTTAATCTTATTTCCTTGCCTCCAATAATACTGTTTATAAATAGTTAATAATACTCTTGGTTAACTTTGTTCTTTCCTCACACGATTAAAACATACTTTTATTTTAATCTTGTATTTTCATATATGCTTAATCATCCTTATTTTTTCATACCTGATTGACATAAGTAGAGGGTTGAAATGTTGCATGGCCATATGTATATAATGTGTGTTTGTTTTTCTGTATTAAACATTTTGCACATTGGAAACAATAGGGTGGGACAATTTGGGAAGCACAACTGAAGATTTTAATGTTACAAAGTTTAAAATGTGGAAACTTAAATCTGAATGATATTCAGCATTACTTGTATCTTGTTGAAGTATTAGTGAAGGTTTATTTTCATTACTTCAAATGTTAGATGTTAAGTATTATGTTTGGGAAGTTGTTTCTTGACCTTATTGGATCAGATGGTCTTTTGTCATATTTTGTAATCTTAATTTTTTAATCTATTAAATTTATTATATAGTAGATAGTGTAACAATTAAATTTTCATAAATAAGTTTTTAATGGTGTTCTGTCATAGTAGATGATTACATAAAAGGAGGAAAAATTATTAATTGTACACAACTTGATTACTGCATCTGGCGTGATAAACTGATTTCTATTAAAATTGTTGCAATCTCCAACTTTATTTTTGGTGAATTTCATGACTATAAATATAATTTTTCTCCTCTCTTATTAATGTTAATGAATAACATTTACTTAATTTTTTTTCCTTTAGATGTTTTAACCTGTGCTCTTTGAATAATAATCAAAATATAAATTCATTTTTGATGCATTTATTTTGAGTTTTTTGTATTGCATTGTTTTATTGCAGTCAGTAAGACCCTTAAATGATTGAATATTTTAGGGCTTTACGCCTATTACTCCTAGTTTTCAAAAATATAGTTATTTTTGGTATGTTTAAGTACATTGGAGCATTTGAAATAAAATGTATTGATGAGATAGAAATAAACAGTATTTTTTTTTTTAGTTTCAGAGTAATTTCTTAACTGGTGTATTGTTCACCTTAATTAAGGAAGAGCATAACTAAGAATATACATGTTGTTAAATAAAACCTATTGCTTTGGCTTTTATTTTGTGAACTATGGAGGAGAATCTACTATATAGTTTGATTGCCATAAATGTGACAAGGAAACAAAATATTTTTCAGTGGTCTTGTTATACTTGACTAACAAGTATCATGTTCATAAAGATTTCAATTGATCCTAGCATTTATATAATTACATTCAATAATGACAAAGTACATTAATATTAAAGGTCTTGCAAGATAGAAATTTCCTCTTAGCATAAGATTAAGTATGATGCATGATTTTAAGTGGAAATTTTTAGGAATTGTTTATATTTGTTTTTTTATGGTAAAAATGATTGGCTGTTCTGTATTAATGTTTTTAATGGTATTAACAAATACAAAAATTAAACTGACCTTAGACAACTGACTTTTGTCAGTGACTCCTGTTCATTCACTTTTAATACCAATGTTAACTGTCAAGTAATGCGAGTGGTTTTGTTTGATACATGCTGTTTCATCTTTCAATAAGAGATATTTGGTTGAAATGTTTAACTACGTCCAAGATCTGCTAATACAAAGTTCACCTCATTATATTTTGTCATGACTGTTAAAATTGGCAGTCAAAAATAAAATAAAAATCATTTGTGAAGGAATTTATCAGGTTTTGTGGCCTTATTGCCCCGAGGCTATCATCTCTTGTTTCTAAATTACTATCAGATTTCCACTGGTTTAACAACAAAAAAAACATTCATTGTAGTACATGTGTAACAAGCTGTTTTGAAAATGGGAGAAATGAGATTATAAATTTTAGTATTTTCCACTGTTGCTTTGGGTTGTGTGAAGTTTATGCTTCAGTTTGACAGTTTGAGGTTTTAGTCATATGAGTATTTTTTCTTACATTGGAATTTACAAAAAATGTAATAAAAGATGATGATACTTTATCTTGAGTTTTAAGATTGTGATAAGTGAAGAAACATTCTACAAAGACTTGAGAAGACATTCACAACAATTCTATAAAAGTTAACTTTTATATTATTTTAATTCTGATGTATACATCAAGTTTATTTTTGATCAGAAGTTCTTAATGTTGTGTTTAAGCATGATTTTTATGGTTAAATTATTGTTTACTGATAAGAATTATGTTTTCAGATACAGATGTTTTGCTTCAGTTTGATGCATTTTTGAAAAGTGCAGAATTCCAGAAGTCTGTAATGAAAGCATCATTTATCAGAAAGTGAGTTTTCTTTATGATGTAGTATCACTAACAGGAAGTGTCATTTTGGTGACAATATAAAATAATTTATAAGCTTAATGATATCCAAAAGACTGTGTGTGTTTTTGGGGGGGTAATACTTATACTTCAGGAAAGTCCACAATTCTTTGAAATTTGGTATCTTAAGAGGTTTAATTTTGGTAGTTTGTTTTCCAGGTGATTATTAACACACTCTCATATCAAATAGGAAGTTGGAAGATGCATGAAATTCCAAAATATAAGAGGTTCTTCAGTAAAGTCTAAAATTAAACATGTGAATTAATGTAAAAAGTAAAATATCCATTTCTTGGAGAAAGGTATATTGTGTGAAAATTTCGTAATGTTATGATGTACATTTGGTTAGAACTTGAGTCTCAAGCATAAACATTTAAGTGTAGTAAGAAATCTAGGGCAAAGTATTTTTATACATGAGTAAGTGTAGTTTGTATTAGGTAATCATAATGAATATAGCAATAATAATAATAGAGTAATTGTTATTTGATGTAGTTTATTTTCATTGAAAGATAGTGTTGTCTTAATCTTGGGGTCTATAGTTTTAGTTAGAAAAAAAGTTAAGATTCCATTGTATTTGATATATTTTATCAGCCTCTTAATGTGTCACTTCATTAAACTCATAAATCTGTAACTTAGTGAACCAAAAAATACAAAACAAGTTAATGGTGCATGTAATTTTTATATTAATAGGAAATGCAGATTATCAGCACCGTCCAAAAACTCCAATGAACACAACAGAAACAGAAACACCAAACTGACAAAAAATGCTGCCCAAGCTCTTCTCACATCAGCTAGTAAGTATTGACTGAAGTTTTCAAGATATCTGATGGTTGGAATTAATATCCTGTTGATTTCATTCTTTGATGGTTTTGTTTCACACTGCTGGTAATCTTTTGTTATGAACTGTTACTTGTTGTGCTATGTTTAAATCTCGGAGTATTAAGTACTTGTGGGTGAAAGTTCTGCTTTTCTCGAGCATGATTACAAAGCATGAAATAAATTTAATGTGAAATAAACATATTTTATAGCTAACATTATTCTAATCTGTTTGTTTAAACTTTCAACCATTTTCATTTTTACAAGGAAAGGATCATAATTGGATAATTCGGTGACATGTTTTTCATGTGCTGCTGAGATTTTTAAAATTTAACTAGCCTTGTATGATGATGCCGTTGGCCCATCTGGTAATGAGTTATGATAACTACAAAGTCAAGTTAAAATTCTAAAAGTTGTCCAAAATGGCTCAGAATGAATCTGATAACATGTGGCCTATGCAGCCCCCAAACCCCTGGCCAATAGATATGTTTCAGTCAAAATGATCATTGGACACTTTCACCCATGATTACTTTGAGAAATGAAAAATATCAAGAAATTTAATATGAAACAAGGACTTAAGTTTGTATACAGAAGTGAAAGGCAAAAACATTTTTTGCACAATCCATTTAACAATGCCAGTGCTCCTTTAATTTTTTATCTAGGAAAGTAGGATATTTGCACAAGAAAACACTTGTATGAAATAGAGAAAAAAATGAACTTCCTGAGGAAGTGCAGGGATCAGTTTTTTTTATAATATAGAAGTTCTATATTAGACAGAACTTCTACATAAATATTGAAACAGGTGCAGATGTAAACAATGGTATTGAGTGGAATTGGTAAAGTTACTGGCATTGAATATATGTGTCCCAACATTTATTAAACTAACTAATACCACATGACTAAGCTAAACTTAAAAGCATGTTAAAAAAACAAAAATACTATGCCTCTTCTATCATTTAGATATTTAACTGAAAAAAATTAAATCTGTTTAACCCTTTCTCAATGGGCTCATGTATTTTCCATGACCTTGTAACCACCATTTAAAAATGAAGGGATATATACTATAAGTCTGAAAGTAATTAATGCATCTTCATGAAATTTGGCAAGTTTTATGTAAATATTACAAGTTATTTGTAGACAAAAAATAAATTTTTAATTAAATATTTTTGCTAAAAATGTGTCCATAAATACTTAGAGTCAGTGAGTGAATCAGACTGCAAAGTGATTTTCATGTTAAGATTAAAATTACTTTTCTCTACCATAACTATGAGGGGTGGTGGTGGTCAATTGTATTGACCTTGTAACCACCATAAACACGAGAAATCTGAGAGATTGCATACCCTTGCCTCCCCACTCCTTTTCAAGACTGCATGTGTTTATATTGGATGATGTCAAATTTCACCTTGGAAAACTCAAATAATCCTTCTCAGATCCAGATTGGTCAATGATCAGAATCATTTTTTTTTGTAGTGTACTGGGGAGTCTTGATGTTAATATGACCATGAAATTTGGTACAAATTTGATCACATTTACAGAGTTGTCAGCCCAAAAATGCCCTCTCTCCCCATTATAAAGAATGCTTCAGTGATCCAGAATCAGGATATGGATTTCCAGACCAGATTTGAGGAGGACAGTTCCATACTGACTTCCCATCTTGTATAAAATTTGTGTACATTGGTCTATTAGTCTTTGAGATAGCATGCAGAATTAGACACATGCACACACAATTGCAACCCCCCCCCCAATCAAGGGTGTGGGTAATTAGAAAATCTAATACTTTTTCTTCTTTCTAGAATGACTGCAGATTGTAACAGAAAACCACAACTGTTTATTCTAAACAGCTTAAAGCTTCATAACATTATACATTTATGTATACTTAATTTTATTGTTTCATTGACCTTTGAACCGTGTCCAGCTAACAATCCTGCCAAACAAGCTGTAAATTGCTCATTGAATGCACAACTCAGATTACCTTATTGAATTACATAAGGCATGAGCTGCTTGCAAGCCTATCTCATGAAGAATTCGTTTTTCATTCTTACATAATCTAGCCTTACCTAACAAGTTTCTAATTTTTACATTTTAGTTTTATAATAATAAATAAAGAATACACATGACAAACAAGAAATATGGTACTTATGTGGGTTGTCTTTTTGCTGTTGATAAAACGTAAGACTTTTTTTTTATATATACAAATGGTACTACTACACTAAATTATTATTTTTAATTAAGTAATGCATCTAAGACCATAATAACATGCAAACAATGTCATATAACTGTCGTAATTTTTGGCTTTCTAACTATATGATAAGCTAAACTCGTCAGTGTGATTCCTGCAAGAAGAAATTTCAAACTGAATGATGAACTAGAAAACGTAATATGTTATTTGATAGATTAAAACGTTGGCAATTTACAAAAGGGGTGTGATAAGTGGGGTATGATTTTCTAGTTTATGACTGTAAACAAATAAAAATTGAAGGCTATAAAATTATGCTTTAACTGAGTAATATCTATATTATAATAAAGAATTATCATTGAATTTGATACTTCTTGGAGGGGTGGTAAATAAATTGGAGAAGGGGAAGACCCAGAGAGCAAATGTTGCAATTGTCATACTAGGGAGATTGAAGTTTTTTTAATATTTCCTTATAAAATTAAGAACTTAAAACTATATAATATTAGAATTTGGTTTATTAATTACATTTTGATGCTAAGTTTATTTGTATACATTAATAATAAAATAGCTTAAAATTTGAATGTAACTCTAATAGGTTGAGACATGTGTACTTTGACCTACCCATTGCGAAAGGATTAGAAGACTAGTTTAAAAATTTTAAGACTAATAGAGGGGATATTTAAAAAAAATATATATAAAAGGGCATCTAATGAATATTAAACTTATTTAAGCTTACATTATTTCTCCTGTTTCAAGTAACTTAACTTTGCTCTTTCTGATTTACTATTGAATTTTTTGTTGACGGTAACACTTTAAAGAATATTTAGGTTTTAGCTAACAAGTTTGATTGAAAAAGAGATAAGCATCACAATATTTCATTTGGTCAAAATAAAGCTCAAATTTTACCCATAACAGTTCATAAATTCTAATTCCATGTTAACTTCCAGTGCTATGATCACCTAGTGTAGTGGTATTTAAATGGGAATTGTAGCTCTTGAGATGTTCTTTTTTTTATTCTGCATCTATGTCGGAGATTCTCTTTCTGCTTAGTTATATTAGTGATAGTACTTGTTTTCAGCTTATTTTGCAGATTGTAAAGCTCTATATCGTGGAATTATCTTGTTTTTGTAGCTTGAAAGCAAAAATAATACCAAAATTGGGCATTATAGGATCTTCATGGTAATATAAATGTCTTGGATAAATTTTAAAATAAGTCAATTTGTGAGTCTTGATGTGGTTATTTCCTAATTCTCAGCTGATTTTATTTTTAGATACTTTATTTGAAGTCTACTGAGGCTTTTCTGTATATTTGAATGATGTACATATAGTACTTGTCAACATTCATGTTTGTTTGTTTACTTTTTAACTTTTCCCATTCTCATCATTTTGACCATCATATACACATGATAAAGTCTTAATTTTTATTTTTATTACAGTTATGTTGATTTTTATTATCAATCACTTCATAGTAAAAGAAGCTACCTGCATAGATCAGAATTACAAATTAACCTAGTAAATATAGCTTAATTAATATATTAGTCTAATTAGGAGTATGAAATGCATAAAATAAAATTGTAATGATTAGAATACATTAAATCCAGTGTTAATTTTGCTCCGAAAGTTTTGAAAATGTTCGTCAACAAGGTTTTATGTTTTCCTTTCGTTAACAGCGAGGTGAGTGGATGAGAGTCTTCCAGAATGATGAAGACTATAATGACTCCACGAAGTGGTTAGAATAACTGAGACTTGACAAAAACTACAGAGTATCTCACACTTTAGGTGAAATAAATATATCACAAAATGTCTTAGCATATGCTATAAAGGAGTTCATAAGTAATATATTTACATTGAAACTGTTCGTGTACAGTGGATTCAGTACTTGGAGGGTTTGGTGGATTCAGTACTTGGAGGGTTTGGTGGATTCAAAAGCAGTAGTAAAGTTCTCAGACACTACCACATCCACCGAACCCTCCAAGTACTGCAAATTCTGATATTGAATGAAAATCCAATAAATAATACGAGCCGGACAGTCAGTTCAGTTAAACAATATAATCAATTCAATTGTAATTTTAATCAAAAATAAACAATAATTAAAATTAGTTTTTCTGATTATTACTAGTTGTGATTATTCCAACTATCCAAGTCTTTTGTGAGAATAATTGACAATTAGTCAATTATCAAATCTGCTAATTGTCCAGTTCTAATAAACAATAAATTAAGCAAAACAACTTTCATTACAAGTAGAGTCACTGTAGCTTGTTTTTTTTTACTTTGGGAAGTATGATGATGATAAACAACATTCATATGTCACACAGGTTTCAAACATTTATAATGATGATGAAGTTTGGAAAGAGTACAATACTTGGAATGCTGGTTTTGAATAACTATATCTTTGAATTGAAACTTAATATAGACATTGTATATCTTGTAGAGTATCGTAAGAAACTGGGTGAAAAGAAACAGAAAAAGAAGAAATCCATTAACTTTGAAAATGGAGATAACTCAAAATGGAAGAAGAAAAGAACCTTTAATGAACTTGGATATGGTGAGTACTGGAATGACAATGTTAAGTAGGACATTTTTATAAAAAGTTTGAACAGAACAATTTCATCACTCTCCTTCACCGTGTTACACGTGGTAAGTGTAATGTATACATGTGGGGGGGGTGTTTTGTTGTTTATTATTAATAGCCACAGGTAGTTTTATTTAACTATTTCAAGGAAGGATTTCATTTTTTAATGTACATAATTTTTTTACTCATTTATAAAAAAAAAAAAAAACTATGAACGTTATGCAAGTATTGACTTCTAAGCATTTTTATAAATTAAATATAAAAGTTGAATCTAGTAATTAGTTTTAAAAATATGTCTGTACTTTAATTTGATAAATAAATATATTCAACCTTTCAAAGTCAGCTAATTAAACACCTTTTTGGCTGGTTAAAAGTTTGTATTATGCAAAGAATTAACAAACATCTTTCTAAAATGCTTTGAAAAGTATTAATGTGAAACTTGACTGTGCAAAACTGTAGAGGTTGACCAAGTTATGTAATCATTGCAGCACAAAAGTCTTTTTTTGTTTGGACACTTTACTGTTAGGGAAATGAGATGAGTATTTATAATGTTACACTTAATAAAGACCTTTAATAGTAATTAACAACATCGAGATATTTGGATAGAATATTAAAAAATTAATAACAGAATACAAGCAAATACCATTTGATGAAAGGCAACTGTATATTCCATGGATCATCACTTTTCAAACTGAATTAGGCAAAAAGCTTGAATTATCTACATTTAAAGAAAATTAGTGTTATTTTCGCCCTCTATTATGTGACATTAAAATGGATAAACTTTTAGGAAAACATTCCTAAAGTTTAAACTGCAAGTTATTCACATTGCATGTAGAACTTAGACAAGAATTTTTAAGTTGATTACAGTATGTGAACATGGCTATTGCTCTGCATTGGAATGAAGCATTTAGATAGATGTAAATTTATTTTTTCTTGTAATACTGTTGTTTATAACCATGCATGTTACTTGCATTATGTTAAATCAAAGTTTAAGTTTTCCGAGCAGTAACAAGATAGTGTTATGTGGATAAAATCTTTTTTTACTCTTGCTATAGGTTTGGTTAATTTGACACTGAATCTTGATCCCAAATTGACATTTAGTTTCCATAATACACTAAAAATGTTAAGTTATATCTTCATGAAATGTTACAAGCTTTCAGTAAGCATTATAAGTCTTTTATAGACAAAAAATCGGGAGTTTTAATGAAGTATTTTTACTAAAAATTTCATGAATGTATGGAGCCAAAGTGTTGACTGCTCAGAGTGCAAAGTAATTTTCATGTTAAAATTAAAAATACTTCATCTGAAAACTGTCAAGTTTCATTTGCATAGTCTCTAAAAACCCCTAACTAAATTTCAAACGTTTTTATGTAAAATTTTATCTTTTTTTTTTTTTTTACCCTAACTCTATACAAGGTAGGTCAAATTGACTGACCTCATAACCACCATAAATGAAATAAATCTATATTACCCTTTTTTCTTTTTATAATCACTTCAGTTTATAGTAGGAAACTAGAATTTATTATCTTAAATTGCTTAAAACTAATAATAGTATATATCTGTTTCTACTTAAATTTTATTGTTTTATTGTCCTTTGAATCCTGTAACTAATAATCCCAACATACAAGTTTTAAATCACTCATTGAACATGTAGCACCTGTAACCCTATCCAGTTATGTGATGCATGAGGTGTTTGTGAGCATACATCTTGAAAATTTTATATTTCTTTTCCATTATCTTGCCTAATCTAATCTAACCTAATAACTTTTTAAATTTTAGTTATTCTATAATAATAATAATAATAAAGAATACACGTGAAAAACAAATATAATACCTGGGCCTTTCTTCTTTCTCTCTCTTTTCTGTTAACTGTCAATGAAACTTAACCCTGATACTGCTACACTAATTTTTTTATTTAAGTAATGTACCTAAGAACAAAGAATAATAACACTTAGCCGTAGGATATTGTCTGATTTTAATCATAATTTTTGACTTTATGACTGTACAGAAAACAAATTAATATTAAATAGTCTAACTTTCTTTTTGATGGCTTTGTAACCAAATAAGATTGGAGGCTATAAAAATTATGCTTTGCCTGAGTAATAACAATATTATAATAAGTAATTTTACTTTTTTTTGGAGGGGTGGTAAATAAGAGAAGGGATACCTAGAGAATAAATCCTACAATTTTCATACTAGACCAAATGTTTGTTTTTGTGTTATAATTTGGTCATTCTAGAATGAAAAAGTTACAATTTATATTTATTTCCTTTTTTTTTTTTTATGGTGGTTAGATCGTTCAAATCAACCAAACCTGTACAGAGATTTGTTACTGAAAATAACAGATAAAATATAAAGTTCTTTCTTAAGAAACGTTTGATAACTATCTGGACAGTATAAAGATTTCGCATTTGAAAGTTGAAAATGTTCTATTGCACAAAAGTATTTGTAATCTTAAAATGAAAATTACTTTGCATGTTGAATAGGCAACATGCAAAAAGAAAAAAAAAGGCATGAGAAAAACATTACTTTACAAACCTTAAAACTTAATAATAAAAAAAATTGATATTTTGCATATGAAAGCATTGTAATGTTTGTTGATAATCTGCCAAATTTCGTTAACCTATGCTTACTAACTTAAAAATTATAGCATGAAAATTATAAGAAGCACAAAATGGTTATGAGGTCAGTCCCAGGGGCTGAGTCTGTGCTGAAAGAGTTAAGACTGAGGTTCATTTTGCTGCTGGATTTTTAGATATAAATGTAATGAATATTTTTATTTTCAGTGGAATAAGTGTCAGTAATAAGGTTCTCAATTTTAATACCTGGATTTTGTATGATGGTATTTATGTCTATACATTTTGTTTTTATACGAGTCATTTCCATAATTCAATTAGGTTTTCACTGACTATGTTCAACATTAGGAATTGTAGTGGTAATGTGATGCTTGTCTTTTTTAAGTATTCCCATTATATTTCTTTTTACAATTTCTTCCAGATAGTTTTTTAAATAGATTTTGGAAATTCTATGTAGTTTCTGAATTGTTTGCAGAACATATATTAAATGATATTTGCATAATACATTTTAAAGCTCTTAGATTCTCTTGCGAGGGGTTTGCAGACTTCCAACTAAAGTGTTATTCCAAGTTTGTTGCCTTTCAGTGAATTTTAGGCTCGAGTCTTCGTTGTTTTCTTATGATGTAGATGTATAGAAAGTATGGTGAAATTTTTATTTTTAGTTGTAAAATGAATGTTGGGATGTATGTCTTATTGTGGTTGGATAATCTTTGTCAGAGTTGAGGCCACAAAAACCTCGTATCTCAACCAATGTAAGGTTTGTAGATAGCTGTTTTAAGGCCTGTTTTTCGAATAGAATTAGAAATGTGTTTACTAGGGCACTTGATAAGTGTTCCACCCATCCAGGTGCTGTCAATTTCACAGTAGGTTGGGTCATTGAATTTAAATGGAACTTCATGGCAAGGTTAGGAGGATTGAGGATGTGGAGGTTTTGCATTTTGGGTCTTTTTATAAATAGTTCAAGAGTAAGTTTGTACTCTAATTCATTTGGATATATAGATTTTGCATATCAAACCTAGCCATTTTTTTGTTTGGGTTCCAATTTTGTTAAGGAGTCTGTAAAATGTAGGGTATTTTTGATGGTGTTATCAGAGTTGTATGTTAAAATAATCCAATGCATGTATGTGTTAAGGTTATAGTTAAAGGAAGAATAGGTTGAAATTATGAAATGCATTTACATAGGTGTCCATAGAGTGAAGGAGGTCTACCATTGGTGCTGCATAATCAGTTTCTGAACTTGGGGGAAATACAGCCTTTGTCTTCAAATGCCTTTAGAAGTTTGTTCATTTGTTTTTCATATAGAATGTGAAAGTTTTGTTTTATCTTTCTTTGAGTGTTTAAGATTGTTATTTAGTGGAGGTTTCAAGAAATTCTCTGAAATCCATTTTTGGGTGTTTTACAATTGGTGCTTGTCAGGTTGCATTAAAAGTTTGTGCTGATTTCTGTTTAACTTATTTTGAATTATGTATGATAAATAGGATAGAAAAGCATTCCTGTTCTTTTCTGTAGAGTCATTGAAATAATACAACACTTATAAATCCAGAAACGTAGCATTTATTTATGTGCAGAAATATAAGAACAGACCATAAAGAACATTTATTTCATTAATATATAACTATAGAATATCAAAAAGCGAAACTAAAAAATAAACTGAATTTTTTATTAAACTTTTTTTCAAAGAAAAAGCCTGATATGGAAGGGGTTAAAGTAAAATTCAGTTTAATGTTTGTTGAAAGTTAACACAGTTTTCTTAATGGAGTGGTTTTCATTACTTATCTGTATATATTAAATTGATTTAGAATAATTTGATTGAGTTTTATATTTTTCTAGTGCCCATGAATCGTAATGGTCATTGATTAACCAGACAAATTTATCCCTATCCCACTGTTTTGTGTGCTAATATTGTTACTTAACTTACAGTACTAGAAGCATATTTATTTATTTTTTTCTCGTATGACAATACAGATTTATGTAAATATCTTATTCAAAAGCAAAGAATCTAGTTGCTTCATATCTATCCAAAATGCCACTTTCCTAAAAGTAAAAATAATGGTCTGTAATGCAATCTGCTTGAACATTACTAAATTCCTTAAGTTCAAAAATAATTTGAGTAACAAACGTTGTTATACATTCCGGTAAATTTGTGTAACAGATGCTTAAATTTTAAGTGGTATTGAGGACATCAGTAGACTGTCTACTTTTTTTTTTCTTTTCTTTTAAACTATTGAAATTATATACTTAAGACCTTACAGTCTACTGCAATAAACTTTTAATCTGTACATAAGTTTTTATTGTTTAAAAATATGTATTAATACACTTCTCTTTGGATTTTTTATAATGCTATTTGATATTAAAACAATTGGGTTTAATTTAGTTGGATAAGTCCCCACCTCCACACCAAAATTTCATAATGAATAACTGATTGTATTAATGAGAAATAAAGATTTCTCAACTTCTGAAATTAAAAAAGTAATAAATTTTTATCATTTTAAATGTGTTAGCAAATTTCTTGTATTATGTTTCCAACTTAAGTTTCTGTCAGCTTATAAACCTAAATATTTTATAACATCTATTTTTTCAGTTTGTAAATATTTACCAGTAATCCATTTTACACACCCATTATTATGAATATACAATTGAAAAATATTTTCATTTATATTAATTTTATTTTTTAACTGGAAGATATAATTTGGCTTGGTAATCTTAGTGTATAATTTATTTTTGTTTTAATGCAAAGGTACAGAATAGATAATCTGTACTCTGTCTGCTATAGGGGATTGAACTTGGGATTTTTAGCATTGTGAATCTGTAATCTTGATGCTGACCCACTAAGGAACGTTTTTAAAGAAAACTACTTTGAGTGCACTTTTTGATATCATATTATATCATAGTGGAGTTTATAGTTAAACATGTGAAATTTACTATACATAGTTTTATTGCTAATATTTTGAATTTTTTAATTATTCAGAATCGTTCAAAAGACGTAGAGTTCACTGCCCAAGTTCATCGGCGTCAAGCAGTAGTTCCAAAACCTCATCTCCTGCACAATCTCCTGCCCCAGTTTTTGATGGAGATAAGCAACATGGATCTTTTGCAGGCAAAGATAATTTGAGTTTTAATAGTTAGGATTAGTCATTGGTTAAAACACTGTCAAGGATATGTTATTGGTTTGCTTGAACAATGCAATTTTATTTTTTAACAAAACAATTTTGTTATCATAACTTTAAGTAGCTATTAATCATGATTGTGCTTTCTTGGTTAGGTTAACACTATTTATGTAAATCAATATTGCTTTTTAAGTAAGCTTAGTATGTATTATTAGACATGCCATTACATTATCAAGTGTTTTTTATTTCCCTCTGTCATGCCAAGTAAGCATGACTGTTTTCTAGGTATGTTAAGTGGACGTGTTCAAATAAAATTAATTAGTGTTGAATTTTTGAGTTTACTTCTTCAGAGTTTGTAATTAACACTTCTTACTGTGAAACCTGGCCAGTTGGAAATTAATTGTATACTTTACATTTATCCCTAACCATATTGTGAAGTTGGAAAACAATATAAATTTAGTGCACTCATTGTGAACAGTATCCTTAATAAAGATAAAATATAGGCAGATTCAGCTTCAGAAGCTGAAGGTTTTATTCTGTTATATTTGTATTAACCATTGAAAACACAACTTTCTTTTCAAAGAAAATTAATTATTTTGAATTTCATTTCTGTTCTTTTAAGGTAACAATCAACATTTTGTGTCAGTGACAGACGTGCCTTTGTGTAGACGAAAATAATAATTTTACCTTTCTTCTAACTTTTGTAATATTTGGTATTTTGTCATAATACTTGTTTTATATTTATATCTTTGTTAAAAATGAGGTTTAAGGCTCCAAATACCAAAATAACTTGCCTCTAATGTTGAACCATTTTTTTTCCAGACCTTAATACAACTTTTTTCTCTAATAGAAAGGAAATATTTAAATCTTTGTTACTATTTTTGATCATTGGCATTTGAAAGTTTTCTATTTGCATAAATGATTTAAAATGACAAAAATTGGGGTATTTGAAGTTTTTCAAACTTTGCTCAACCAGGTAACCAGGAAGAAATTTGAAAATCTATGACAATGTTTCAATGCTTATTTGTAATTATAATTTGTACAGTTCATTAATTAGAAGAAGAAAAAGATACATTTTTGTCGTTTCTGAGAAAATTGTTCTAATTATTTTATAATAAAGTTAGTAAAGTATAGGAGATTACACGTATAAATAAGACCAAAAATTGAAGTTGGTTAATTAAAATCATGTTACCAAAGTTTAGTAACATATCTTGAATACTATATCTCTCAGTATGGTGTATCATTATTCTTGTGTGCCTCTAAAATTAAAAAAAGGAAATGGTAAAAAATTAAAATTAAACACAAGGAAAATTTCTGATTTTATGTGTAAATTATAAGTGATATCACATGTGGTAATTTTGAGAAGATTAAAATTTTAGGTAGAATAATGTGGTTTTATGCTCACGATACCATTCTTGTTCTCTTCCCCTCTGTGTGTGTGGAAAGAGGGAATGATTCCACAATACTTCTAGTCTTTATAACTTACATTTTCTTCTAAGGCCTTTTGAAGAAAATATTGTATTTGTTAAGAATGAGTAAATTGAACTAAAAAGTGTATATATGACTTTTTGTTTGTTTTTTCCATTTAGGTAACAGAACTAGTCAACTTCAAGATGTTCTCAAAAAGAGAAAACATGAAAATGAGTATGATATCAACAACATCGTTATCCCTTACAGTATAGCAGCAACAACAAGAGTTGAAAGGCTGCAGTACAAAGAAATTCTTACACCTAAGTAAGAAGCATGAACTATCTTTTATCAAGAAATTAAAAAAATAATTGTGTATAATACAGACTCGCAGTTGACTGATACTTTTCATAGAAAAAGAAATATTTCTTCATATTTCTGCTGCACGATATATTTCAGCTCTGAATTCTTCATTTCAGAATTTTCTAACTTTAAAAATAGGATGCTGCAGTTTCCAAACAATCAGACACAAAACCTATACAGGTTAACAAGCATAAACCTAAAATTTAAACCTCCTGCCTTCTGTATTTGTTATCATTAAATTTGTCAAACTCAACAGAGAAGCCCCCCTCTCCAAGAGCAGATTAACTCTCAACTTTTTTTTTATGAATTTGGTGGGGAGACTATTCACTTGATAGAAATGTCTTGTTATGTGATTGTGATTTCACTACTGCGAAGAGCTAGCAGAATTGCTAACTTGTTTATAAATTAATAAATTGTTTAGAAAGCCAAATAAATTATAGTAATTTGGGGAACATTCTATTCTAGTGACAAATGTATTTTTGTGTCATAAAATGCATATTTGAAAGTTGCATAATTTTTTTTCTTCCTTGCCCAAATTTGTGGAGGCTCAACAAGGCTTATGGGGAGAATGTAAGTTTTTTTTATGCAAACAGCTCAAATACACAGGAAGTAAAAGAAATCCTTATTTTCTATATATATGATTTTTAATTATCATATTTTTTAATAGAAGTAAAAATTAAAAAATTTTATAAACTTCCCAGTTCAGCCTAACTAAACTTCAGTAAAATAGAAGTTTTAAAATTACACTAGCTAGCTCATAACTTTAAACCTTAGCTCATAGCTCCTTCATCTCATGACTGATTTGGAACCTAATTACAGTTTTGGACTTGGGAGGTCAAACCCTTTTGATGTATTTGGCCATTCCCAAGGTCTCCTAGATTAATTTACTCTGATCCTGCCTAAAAGAATTTCTAATTGAGGTTAGAGATCCTGACGAGTAATAAAATTGAATCGGGTATATGTGCACTCCTTGCTTGGTATTGCTGGCACACCAAAATATAGCTAATAATAAAAAAAAAAGTACCACTAGGTTAATTTAACTCTGATCCTGCGTAAAAGGAATTTCTAAGTAGCTGCGACTATTGTAGGAGTTACCTACT